AAAGGGCACGGGAGGGAGAGGTTTAATTACTTCGGCAGCAAGGATGCTGGGAATCTCAAGGGTTGAGGGCTTCGGCTTCGGGGGCCATCCTTGATTTGCCAGGCACGGGTCTCAACTATGTGGCACTTTTGGACGAAGGGGCCGCAAAGGAGCACGGACACGGAGATGAGAGGCATCATGAAGCGGCGGTAGCTCGGCACCCGGGCACCTGCCAGGAGGGCTTCAGCCTTCGGGGGGGCGTTTTTTCTCTCGCAAGGTCTTGGGAAATACCAGTACAGAACAGAACTTGACACCCCTCCCCGCCCACCCCTCTCCCCTCAGCAAGTCCATCAAACACCTGTCCGCACCAGGATCCGGAAGTTCGGCTTCCGAAACGTGACATCTGAGCTGGGCTCGCAACAGCCGAACAAATCCCCAGCACCCCCCCACCCCAAACGCAAAGCGCTTCTCTGAACCCGAACTGGATCGAACTGGCTCGCGACACGTGCGTGCCCACCTGCAAGGACGACGAGCTTGAGCTGCATGATCGGGCACGTGAGAATCCACTCCTTAGGTCTTGAGGGCTGGCATGGCGAAAACAAGGGGTACCTTAGGTCCCGTACCTTGTTGGGGCCCCTATTAAGGGAATCCTGCTATGTGGGGGGGTCTATTTTAAGGTTCCCTTATATCGAAAAAAACCATATGGCCTCTTCTCTAGACTATGGCCCCTTTTTTGGTCTTGAGAATGATTAAGGCGGCCTCAATATTCAGGGTACCCAAGCTGGCAGCTGGGGCCATAATTTAGAGAACTGACCACATGACGCAAGGCCGGAGGAGAGGGGGGGAGTGTCTGCGTTGATGGGAGAGGGCCCCGCGGCGACACGATGATTTTGATTGAAGCAACAGCAGCAAGAACGGCATAAAAACCATATGGGCGTGGGTCTCCCTTGCGGGGCTCGGGTTTAGGGTTTAGGGTTAAGGGTGCGGGCCTTGTTTCGGATCTCAACTCCAGTCTGCGTTTCGTAATGCAACCCTATGACAGCTTAGTGTACGGGGGGCTGTTCAGCTTCTCCTTACTCCCTCCCCAAATAACACAAGGACTCGCCCAAGGATCAATGGGTCGGGACAGGTTCAGCGTGAAGTTGTTCTGCCGCCCCGGAAGGTCGAAGTCGTCGATGGCCGTGAGCTGAAGGATGTTGAAGAAGCCTTGGGCAAGGGACCCAAAGCAGTTTCATCCCTCCCTCTCTCTCCCTCCTTCCCTCCCATCCCGTCCAGCTCTCTCTGGTTCTGCCAGACCTCCGCTCCAAGATGCCCCCGAAGACTAGATGCCAAACCGCAAAGCCCTGCAAGCCGTAGATGACCTTGGCACCCAGAAGTCAACCCCCAACCATGAACACTCAAGATTCCAGAGCCAGACCCTCGCCAAACCTAAGCCCCCCCCTGGCCCCCCCTCGCAGCCACAGAAGCCAGAGAAAAGAGCCACGGCTGTACTGATCGTGGCGCAGATCGCATGACGCTGCTCCAGGGGGGCTTTCCTGGCTTGGCACTTCATGATATTGACATGAACAAACGATCTTCCAGGATCAACCTGATTCTTGCGAAAGGGTGGGTTGACGCCGGCTGGTATTTCATTGCGTTGTAGTGTGGCAGTGCAGGTTGCGGTGGGGAGTGAAGTCGAGTCCCAACGATTGGCTTGGAATGGCAAGTAAATTCGTTCAAGTCCGGGGGTTTTGATGGGCCGGAGGCCTTGGGTTGTCTTTTCGCGCAGTTCATTCATGGACTTCCCCCCTTCCCTTCATACGGGGGGTAGAGGAGTCTCTGGTCGCCCTAGGCATAGGGGCCTTAAGAAATCGAATGTGGCTTGTTGGGGTTATTAAAGTATGAGCGTGTAGGGACCCCAAGGTGAATGCTATGAGTAATTCTTCCGACCCCCTATATTAACCCAAACCCTTTTAAGCACGGACTGAGGAGGCTGCCGGGACTCGAAGTCTAGCTAGGACTTTCACTAAACCCCAAACCCCAAACCCCAAACCCCAAACCCCAAACCCTAAAGCCTAAACCCTAAACCCTAAACCCTAAACCCTAAACCCTAAACCTGGGGAGCCAAGAGTCTGAGCGACGGCAACCTTGGAGTTGTTGGCGAAGATCAGCCTGAGCTGCTTCGGCGGATTTGGGGGTTTCTGGCTTTGGGCGGCTATAATCCTACTAAAGTTTCAAGGTTCTACAATGCACTTCGGGTGGACTGACGGAAGATGGATATCCACCAAGCAGCCACATGGCGAGCACCATGAAGCCGACCCCCTGAACGATCCTGAGTCGTGCATGAACTCTCAGTTCTGGGGGACTCTAAACCCCTAAACCCTAAACCGAGGGCTTACAAGGATGTTGTAAATGGAGTTCGATGAACTTCTCTCGGTCAGGGCTTGGGTCGTGGCCGTGCCCCCAGGTTACCCCTGTGTCGATGCCTTCTAGGGTTTAGGGTTGGCCCTCCTCTCAACCCGCCATTTGTAACCTCCCTCCCTGCATGTGTAATCTCTGTCCGAAGAAAAAGTGCAACCCTTTGCGCGATGCAGATGCGAGCTCCTTAACCTCTGAATCATGGTAGGCTATGGTAGGTGGGGAGTAACCTTGCTTTTCAACTGTGGTCACTTTAGGGCATGCCTTTCCGACCCATGGGCTGTGCGATGTTGTGCGCGTTGGTGAGGTCAACCGACTCGCTGCAGGCCTCAGTGACAGGACGCGCAGCACAGGAGAAGGCTGCACCAGTCTCTCACCAGGCACGCAGTCACGACGAGCAGTAGGTATCTTGTAGAGACAACAAGGATTCAACGCGGAACCGGATGGTTTGTGGAGCAACTTGCTTACTTTATGTGACGCAGCCGACTGAGGCCTGGTTTCACAGGCTAACGCCAAGTCCACAACAGGCAGAAGTCCAAAGCCTCAGCCTGTTTCTTTGAACTAATCTGCAAGCATTTAGAAAGCCTCACTCCGGACCTTATCCCGCCCACCCCCCACCCCCCCCCTTCTCCCCGACCTCCCAAAACGCCTAAGTCTAAGCCTTATTACTTAAACTTAAACTCCAAACTCGCTTTCAGCCCCAACAAAGGCACCTCCGTTTGGAGCCGGCGCTGCAGGCTTTCGGCCACCTGCCCCAAGGTTTTTTGTTTCTAGGGGTTAGGGGCAGGAGGGCATTTAAAGGGTTGAAGGGGCAGAGAGGTTTAGGCACCGATTTTTGGGAGCGTTTCTCTTCGCTCCCGCAGAGTTAGGCGAAACCCAGCCCAGGGCCGTGCACCTTTAGGGTTTGGCTCTATGCTGAACTTGGCCCCCCCGTGTAAAATCTTATTTCTAAAAATACAAATTATTTCGAAGTACTACCCCTAAAATTTCTTAAGGTGTAGGGTTCGGGGTTGCCAGGTGGCAGGGTGATTGTTAAGTACATGGCGCCGAAAGGCGGGTGCATTGCATACCCATCCGATTCCTGACTCCTTTCTCAGAGGATCGTTTGGGGGTTGCGCTTTTCAGGGGCGTCGGGCCCGGCACATGCCGCGTGGCCGAGATGCTCCTGATCTGCTGGGTTGCTGTTCAGTTCAAGAGCTGGAACTAAGTTACCACGAAAGGATGTATAGCAAGAGTATCGCAAGTATTCGAGTGCCTCAAGCCCTTTTGCAACGAGCTTGGCTATGCTCCCGCCCTAAACCCTAAACTCTAAACTGGTTTCCTTTGTTTTGGCCTCATTGATCGCCGAGACTGCATCTAGCAGCTTGTCCTCAAGGGCCCACAGCCCTCTGGAAGCTGCAAACAAGTCTGAGAAACCCAGAGTCGCAAGGTTTCAAGGGGTAGCAGCCTGTCCTGCTGCGTCACAGAAACGACGTCCATTGCAGCCTGAGACGTCCATGCTCGAAGGTCGCTGGGTCAAGAGGGGTCCTAGAGTTCTCCGACCCAACTCCGCTGAACAGCTACGGATGATTGCCGAAGGCTTTCGCACCGATTGTTTGAGTGTCCTTCTGGTCTTTCCTGCCGGCATGTCATCTTGAGGCGGCAAAGAGGAACGGGTCTCTTGAGGGAGGCTTAAGAGCCCTGAACACCCTACCCTTGCGCCCGGGGACCGCCCGGGCATCTCTCAGAAAATTTCTAGAACAAAGGGCACAGCTTATAGCACCCCAGCTGCAGGGCAAGAGGCGCCCGTTAGGGTTTAGGGTTTTGGGTTTAGGGTTTAGGGTTTTTTTGCCACCCGCCTAGCTGACACTGTGGCCACATTGCAGGGACCGGGTTTAGGGTTTAGGGTTTAGGGTTTAGGGTTTAGGGTAAAGGCCCAACTGCTCTCAAACTCCGACACGCGGCCGTGTGCCCGGGTGTGAGGCAACCGCAAGTGCAACCACCGGAGGCCAGCTGCCAGCTTGAGCCCAAACTGAAAAACTGCGAGATTGGCAAAGGACACCTCTAAGGAGATACAAAAACTGCGACCTTTGTTGGGGCTTTTTCAAAGTATCCCCCCTGGCCTTTCAGAACTACAGACAGCGGGGTTCCACAACCGGAACCCCGCCTTGCTCCTGTGGGCTTTGGTCCGTTGCACGCCACGGAACGCTATAGCGTGTGCAGCTCGGTTTAAGATATCCAGGCTTTCGGTGCGAGCTGGCAAGATCACGCCTGCAGCACCTGCATCAAAGCCCTCCTGAAAGCCCGGTTGTTGAATGAAGCCCCGTAATCACTCGCTTAAACATGTGAGAGAAACAAGAAGACTACACAGGGATTCCTTGAAACCTCCCTTTGGCCTCCCCCTCCCCTGGCCCCCTGATCAGCCCAAGGTTTCACCCCTGGGCTTGGTTGAGGGAAGTTTAGGGGGTGGCTCAGGCTTAAGCACCCCTGGCTGCCCTGGCTATTGTCGGGAGATACTTCGCAGCTTGCCCCCTGTTGAAGAGCTGCAGCTTAGTGAGCGCTCTCGCCGCGTGAGGCCCATGAAAAAAATGCAGGTTCGTATCTTACTGAGGCGAAGAGCCGCCACACAAGGTCCCCAGACCCACCTTCCCAGCAGAGCTGATGGTGGCTGCAAACGTCACAGGGCTTGGACCTTGGCCAGCTGGTTGACTCCGGGGGGAGTTTCGCACGGGTGGGTTCTGGGAGTAGCAGGGACGGCGAGTGTTGCAGCTACTCGAAATTATGACCTGGCGCAGCCTTTTACAGGCACGAGCACGCTTGGCCAACAATGAAAGAGGCTAAGGGACACAACATCTTCAAGGGTCTCGAGATCTTTGGGGCATCAGGGGTCGTAGTTGCTTGAGCCTTCGAGTTCCAGCCGTTGTTCTGTGAGGTCTGAAGTCCCGAAGCTTTCAAAAGCTGAATGTAACTCCCTCTGAAACACCTTGGAGGCTGCGCGAAATTAAATACCCCCTCTGCTGAGGCCGCGGGCTCAACGAAAAGCTCTGCAGCAGTCGCCCGGCCAGGGTCCAAATGCCCTGCTTCCTCAAACTTACAGAAGGAGGAAGGCCAGGACGACTTTCCGTTTATGAAGAGGGAAGAGCCTGGGAAGATGAGCCGGCAACGCTGCCCAAAAAACTTGTTACGAACAAAGGGCTAAGGTATAGAGGCACAAACCCTGAAGGCGCAGCAGTACCTCTTAAACGGCTCGGCCCACGAACGTCCACCCCGAAGAAATAACCCGAGGCCATAGCAATAGTTGCTGAGGCCCCCTAGAAGGGACTCTTAATGCGACTGCCCTCTGTAACCCCTCTACACCTTACTTAACTCAAACAAGCAGCCCTCTACAATCCCAAAACTTCCTCATACGGGCCACTCCCAAGTTTTGTGAGGCAAACGGAACACAGCAGCTTCACGGCACGACATCTGCACCAACCACCCTAAACCCTTAACCACGGCATGGGTCTCCCCACAGCTGATGATGCTGTTCGCTGTAATCGTATCCGGCCGGACAGACTCGACGGCCATTCCTTGGACTTGGGCAAGACGCCCCGCTTTCTTTTTTGCCACCCGTCTAGCCATGCTCCACGGGGCAAGGCATCCCCGCTTTGGGGTGTAGGGTTTGGGGTTTAGGGTTGCAGGGCTGAAAGGGAATTGAACTTGATCTGGCCGTCGCTTCCGATAGGGCCCAGACCAGGCGTCGACTTGAATGACTAAGGGCATCCTTTTTCTAGGCCGCTCTTTGCACACGAGTGCCTTACAAACAAGAAGGACCGACCCTGGTTTGGAGCAAACAGCTCCCCCCTTCCCTCCTCCAACAACCACTGAGGCGAGGGGCTTCTCATCAAGGCCACCGCCTCTGCAGGGACAGGGCGAAGTGCGCTGTAAGCTGTAGAAGCACAGCGGCTCCCTTGAGTTTTCGGAAAGATGTCTAAATTTTGGACGTTTGACAGGTTCGGCCAGGGGTTCTCACAGGGCGCTCATGCCATGTGGGTCTCTGCGTGAGCACTTTCTCTTGCCACATAGCCTTCAGACCAGTCAGAAACCATACGATTGTAGGGTTGATGTAAATCAAACGGTTTCCCATCTGAATGGCAGCGGGATTTGGAACCTCCGAGCTTGCGCTTGGATACCCGTGGCCAGGTTGCGGCCCTAGTGCAAGGCTTAATGCCGTTAAGGCCATCTACCTGCGGTTCAAGGAAGATCCGGAAGCTGACCTGTCACTCAAGACCTTGCGATGTAGCCATGCAGATCGACAACCCTGGGAGATCCCAAAAGACAGTGCGCCGAGACAGCGGGCGCCCCTGACATGTCCTAATTTCGAAGCCCACGCTGCCTGCACCCAGAGACCCCAATGCTCGCAAGCCTGGGGCGCCAGTGCTCTTGGGCACAAAAAAAACTCTGAACAGATGTTTCGAGCTCGAAGAGGATGATGGCCAGCTCAGGTCTGTGGGGTTTGAGGGGTTACAATGCTAGTAACCAGGCATGAGGTCCACCGATTGCAGAAAGGCCATCCACTACAGGTCCATCGTGTACGCCGACATGTCCATACCGCGTGTCATGCGGGACCTTGCTCAGACCTCGTCCCTCGACTCGACTAAGGATACATGGCTCGCATATAAAGCTGCTACTTGTAGCCCAGGTGCACTTGCCACCGCGTTGCAGCCTTGGCTGAAGAAGTCTCGCTTTCCGGAGCTAGCATTTATGGCAGGATGCACTGATGCTTCAGGGTCATCGGGGCGTGGAACCCCGGTGTAGCGCGCATGGAATGCAAAGCAAGGTCAGCTGCAACGAGCTTGGAAGATCGGGAACTTGGCCACACGATCGCGGCAGATGTTCATTGTGCTTGAGTCAAGCCAAGGCCCGTGTTGGCTGTGCCAAAGTTCAGCTGATGGTTTGCATTAAAGAAAAAGGACGAACGGGATGAAACAAAGGCTGAAGGTGTCCACGCCTGCAGTATCCGGAGAATGACGGCCAGCAAGTTCCTGAGAGCAGAAGCAGGTCAGAAGTTTGAGCTGCACGGCTTATGAGGCAAAGCGCCCGTCTGCTATTCTAACCTGAGTTCATTCCACAGCTGCTTTCCAATCATCCTCTCCAGCAGCAAGCTGTACTTGAACCTCTGCCTCTGGATACCGAAAACTCTTCGAAAGCCTCAGCCCACAAGAATAGTTGCTTGGCTGAGGCTCCGCCGCCCTCTTCCAACGTCCAGAGTCTTGGAAAACGCTGAGCTGCGCGTTGCGGCTGATCCTTGGCTTTTTTGCAATGTGACATGGGTTCATGGGAGAGCTTAAACCAACTTGAGGTCGGAATAGGGTCGCTTAATGTCACATGCCATTGGTACTGGTGCTAGGTACACACTCCACAATCAGTACATGGCCTGTTCTGAAGGGCCACCGTGGTTTCTGGGAGACTTTTTGCCCGGAGGCCGGTCCAGTGCAGTGCCCACGGCCGCCGCACCATCGAAGAGCGCCTGAAGCTGCGCTCCGATACACTCCTGTGTCATTGGACACAGTGGTTTTTCTGCACACTCTGGCCAAAGAAGCATGTCGAAGTGTTCAACGAGTACAAGGATGTGGCCTTCCGGATTTTGAGGGCTTGGGGCTTTGCTGGGCCCTGCAGGGAATCAGCCCTAAAACTCTATACCCTAAAAACTTATAAACCCTACAAGCCCTATAAGACCCGTATGCCCTATAAGCCCTCTAAACCCTGGGCCCTGGAAGCCGTATCAACCTGTAAACCCTTGTAAACCCGAAAAAAAAAAGATCCTGGTAAACCCTGCAAACCCGAAAGCCTCAGACATCTCGGAACGTTGCTTCCCAAGACACGCCCGCGAGCTCCCAGACACCCTGGCAGGCCTTGGGAGCGTGGGGCTTGGTGATCCTTGAGTTTTGGGCATCTAAAAGGGGTTTAGGGCTTGGGGTTCAGGGGACATCCGAAGTGATGCTTGGAAAATGCAAGCCCGCGTCAAATGCAGCTTTGCAGGCGTTTAGAGGGCTGCGTCTTTTTTCTCTGCTCTCTACAGCTGCGGGTCCACAAGCATTCAAAAAAGGTTAAGAAGCCTTCGTGCAGCGCTGTCTTTTGGGCGTTGCTGGACCTTGTGGAACCAAACACAGCACTAGGCCCATGGCTGCTGCATTCGGCACGAGGCTTCCTTTAGAACTTTAGAGTTCCGAACTGTCACAATGGAGGGCCGAGCGGCCACTGGGCCACTTTCCACGTCAGTGCACTCAACCCTTGCCGTGCATCCGGGGGAGCACTGTGCCGGGCCGGTGCAGAGCCGTGCAAAGCAGAACCCACAGCCGCGGCCAAAAAAGACACATTACCAAAACTGGGCTTCAGTTGGCAGCTGGGGCTTGTGTTTGCTTGTGGTGTCTGGGCATGGCGGCGGAAGTCGGTGATGTAGAAAACTGCTAGACCTCTGCTGCGCTACACGCGTCAAAATATTCTCTCTCTCTCTCTCTACCAGCTGGATGCATTGCACATGGCACTTCATCCGCCAAGCCCCGGCAAATGCTAACTGCCAATGGATCAAGCAATGATTTCCACAAGCCAACGCCCCGGGCTTCGGCCTGCGGAGCCGAAGGTCCTGAAATCCGGAGCGGCTCAGCGCTTCCGTCGGCCGAGCTCCTTCTGAAGTTGGGCCGCCAAGTCGTCCTCTCCGAGCTCTGAGGCCGCCCACAAGGACATCTGCAATGATGAGGGTGCCATTGCCGACATAGCAAAAGGAATCTGGGCCACAAGGGCTGGCACTGCCGCAAGGACTTCTGGTGCTGCGTCCTTCAACTTCGCAGCTGCCCACAAGCTGTTAGACAGACCCTGAGGATCAAATTCCTTCACCGTGTCCGGCATGCGGTCGACAATGGCTGGCACGGCTGTCAGCACCACGGGTGCGGCATTTTGCAATTTCGCAGCTGCCCACAGACTGATTGACAACTCTTGCGGGTCCAATTCTTTCGCCTTGAGTGGCATGCCCTCGGCGATGGCTGGCACGGCGGTCAGCACCTGCGGCACGGCATGCTCTAGCTTCGCAACTGACCACAGAATGTTCGCCAACCCCTGAGGAATCATGTCATGAACCTGGCACCGTATGCGCTCTGCAATGGCAGGCACGACTGTCAGCACCTGCGGTGCAGCATCTTGCAAATTTGCAGCTGCCCACAGGCTGTTTGATAAATCCTGAGGATTGAAGTCCCGCACCTTGTGCAACATGCGCTCTGCGATGGCTGGTACAGCTGTCATCACCTGTGGCACGCATTCTTCTAACTTCGCAGCTGACCACAGGATGTTCGACAAGGCTTGAGGAATCATTCCTTCTACCTTGTGCGGTATGCACTCTGCGATGGCTGGCACAGCTGTCAGCACCTCTGGGGCGGAATCTTGCAACTTTGCAGCTGCCCACAGGATATTTGACAAGAGTTGAGGATCAAGTTCCCTCACCTTGCACGCTAAGTGCTCCGCAATGGCGGGCACAACACCCAGCACTTGTGGTGCAGCATCTTGCAATTTGGCAGCTGCCCACAAGCTGTTTGACAGCTCTTGTGGCTTCATGCCATCTGCCTGGTGCGGTATGCGATCTGCAATGGACTTCACTGTGGCGTGCATATCTGGCATTGCATCCCCCTCCTTGGCAAGTGCCAGAAGGCAGTTTGAGAGACTCTGAGGATCCATGGCGCCTGCCACTTTCTGCGTGTTCCTCACTAGTTCCAGCAACAGCCGGTCATCATATCCGTCCACCGTGCCATACAGAATGCCATGAAGCTCACCCGTGGCCCAAAGAACCTGTGCCGTAGCCCGTGCTGGGAGCATGCCATCCTTCAGCATGGCACGCAGTCGGGTCACCAGTCTTGGCCAAACAGGGTTAGTTATGTCATCTGGGCTTAACTGCCGGCGCTTGCTGAACTTGGCCAAGCGATTCAACGTTGCCGCCATGTGAAAGTAATTGAAGATCGACCCGTCCACCTCCTTTGACACTAAGCTGAGAATCGCTGCAGCGGGTTCGGCCGTCTTTAGCTTGGTTGTCAGTGCTTTGGCCTCACCCTCACCAGCACCACCACGCCGGCCACCCCTGCCACCCCCGCCAATGCGCGGCTTTTGGCCACCACCTCTGCGCTCCCGCACTGCCCTGGCCGTCCTCGGCCGGGCCGTCCTTGGCCGCAGTGTGGTGCACATGGGGCGCATCCTCACAGTTCCACTCTTCTGCTGCAGGGAGCCTGCGTAATGAACGAAGAGCGACTGCTTGCCGCCAGAGATGTCTAGCAGGAAGGTCATAGCCAGAATCGCAGCAGCTTGGCATGTGCGGCGTGCCAGCCTCCTGCCCACTCCCATGGCCCCACAGTTTGTGGCCTGCACCATCGCATGGAGTTTGCAGAAATGGCGAAAAGAAAAAGAAAATGCTTGAGACAGTGTGACTCCGTTGAGCCTGGCTCGGCTTGACGCGGAGGGGCCGTCAAGGCAAAATGCATGGGCCCGTCGGGACTGCTATGCTTCCAGGTGCACTCCTTATTATACACTGCCATACCCTCAGGCTGAAGCACGACCCCAGGCTAGACAACATCTTCAACTTCAAGCCCTGGCCATCTCGCTATGTCTCAAAAGGGTCGGTCAGTCACTTAGTGCACCTGAAAACTCGGGAAGGCTGTGGTGCAGGGCTCAGCGCGACCTTATCATTAGGGGATGCAAGCTTGTGGTGTTCAGGGCTGAGACACTGAGCCAAGCTTCAGCTGCGCAGGTGCTCAGCAGGATCTGGTTGGGCCGAATGGCTTGCAGACCAATCCCTGCCGGGCTCAGCAACAGGGTCACCACCCAGGGGCCAGCGCTTGCAGAACCGGTGCGCAGCTATGTGCTCTAGATGGGGCAAAAGTACCACCCCTTGTGGTGCTGAGCTGGAAGCACGAATCTTCAAGACATCACAAAACATCCTGTACCTCAGACCTACAGCCCATCGAAACTTGCGCAAGTTCTGATGAAACGTAGTTACAACGAGTGGTGGACACAGCAAAAGCAAAACCCAGTCCAATGCAATGGCAGCAAAGATGTGGTGATCATGCAGCATGACCAAACCAGCACGCTCCAGACCTTTCTGCCTTTCGGAGCCTGCCAAGAAACCTCAACGCCGGCACCTGAACCCCCAAAGCCTAAGCCCAACTCCAGACAAATTTCCCATATTCCAGACACATGTAAACCCTCACTCTCTCTCACTCTCTCCCCGTCGCTCTCACTCTCGCTCTCGCTCTCAGTCTCAGTCTCAACCCGGCGCCCTCCAGGAAGAGCCGCGCAGCGGCGCCCCAGGCGAGGCCCCGGCGCCAGGCGCCCAGGGCCGCGTTGACGCCGATGGCGTCGGGAAGAAGCCTCGGGGCTGAGAGGGTTTTCAGGGTTGACGGGTCAAGATTGGGGCGTTTTAGGGTTTCGGCTCTCGCACTCGCACAAGGCAGGCAAGGACTCGGTCGGAAGGTTCTCACTGCGTTTTAGGGTTTAGGGAGGAGGGATTGAGAGTGGAGGTGGTGGTACGATGGGCCGTGCCAGGTTTCTTGCAACGACGTTCGGGCGTTCAAGCTTCAAGGGACAATCGGGACTTCTTCTGCTCAGGCCTCGTCTTTTTATAGGACCTCCAGGCCTGCCAACTCCGAGGTCCTGAATCCTAGGCCCTCTGCACACGGTGCCGAAGATCTGAAACTTGCTGACCCGGGGAGCGGCATGTGTAGCGTGCTGGCCAACAGCTGCAGAGTCCTGGTCCAAACTCGCACTGCCTAGCACCAAACTCGTTTCGGCAAGGGCCAAACCAGTCAAATCACCCAGCAGCCAGGAATCGGGATGACGGTAAACTCTTGCAAGTGAGCCCTAAGCCCTGAAAGATGTACGAAGACTACCATCCTGGTCCTTTTGATTCTTCGTTTTTGGTTCAGGACCTCTATGGTACTGGGCCCTCTAAGTCGCATTGCAGCAGCTACCGCCGCAGGAGATCTCCCTCTGCCTCTGCCATTCAAAGGCCCGGCCCATTGTTTGCAGGACGAGGTTGAAGCACACCTGAACACAAACAGGGGCCTCTATTTTTGGAGGAAGTTCAATTCTGCTTCTCAAGGAAGTGTAGCTTCAATTTCGCAACAAGACAGGTGCCTCAGATGTTAGACAAGGCAACCGAAAGCACCCGAAAATTTGATGGATTCGGGATTTAGCGGCTGTCCTCAACCCTGACTCCTCCCCCATGTCCAGCCTGGTTCGCCTGGCTCGCGAGATCCGCCAAGCCCTCGCCACAGGCAACAAATTTGATGGGCAAACCGACACCACTACGAGAAAAGAGAGACATTTTCGGCACCAGAAAGCTCAAGTAGATACTGTTGCATCCTCAATCGAGGTCTTCCTGCTGACTGGTCGAACACACGCTTCGGCTCACACATTCCAACCATCGCGGGTGCATGCTTGGGAGGCACTCGCTCTCGGGACAGATATGAGATTGGGGTGTGGGGCGTTTGAAGCATAAGCAAGCGACCTCAACCATTGAAAGCGCCATCTGCCAGCGGCTTGTCCTGGGTGGCACATGGCAGGATGCAGGCACAAGAGGGGTCAAAAGGCTGCAGCTCGAAGAAAAAGCCTGGATGAGGTCGAACCGCCCATGGGGCAGTTTGGCAGTTGATTTCGGGACCATTCTGCACAACACAGCCTCCGTTGCAGCGGTGACCAAATTGGGTCTCGTAGCTGGGGCTACATGGGTAGTATGTCTCGACACCGGGAGAAGGTTCTGCGTTCTCCGAACATGCAGGATATAGGGACTGAGGACCTATGTACAAGATTTTTTGACGTTTCAGGACTTTCAGGTCATAAATAGGGTCAGGAGATCTGCAAAGTGGGTCTCTGTCACCCTTCTAGGATCCTGGGGTGCGGGTCGCATTCTTGGAGAGGTGAGATCTGGAAAGGTCGGGAAGTGTGTACCTACACATCGGGAAATTCTTGCTTCTTACTTATTTCCAGGCTTGCCTGCTGAGAAAGAATCTTATCCGTCAAATTGTAATGATATAAATGAAAATTGCAAGTAGTGTACTGATAACCATAAGAGTATCGTCAGGCCTGAGGAAACGATTGCCGTTCTGGGAAAGACTCCATGCCAAGCAGCTCGCCACTGGCACGCAGCACAGCACCAAGATGGATCTCCTGAGGCTGCTAAGTCCAGCCGGAAACCCCGAAGGCCCCCTGAGCCGGTGACCCCCTGAACCCTAAACCCTCATCCCGGATCCCTAAACACACCTCTGACTTTCGGTACTTTCATTGAAGCCGAACTTGCTGACTGCCAAACCCTGATCCCTAAACCCTATAAACCCTAAGCCCTAATCCCTGATCCCTCAATACGCTAAGCCTTTAAGCCCCCTGAATTTTTCAAGGGCATCTCTTCGGCACCCAGTCTCGTTTGTCACGGCGCCGCCGCTTCTTCGCATGGAAGCCTTGGAGAGTTGGGAGCTCTGGGTTTAGGGTTGAGGGTAGGGATGTTCCCCCGTATACTAACACTACGTAGTAGAGATTCTAGTACTCCCTAGAATCCCTATTAAGGACTGTTAGTAGAAGGGGGAACATCCCAAGTTGAGGGGTTGTGGATTAGGGTTGAGGGCTGAGGGTTCAGGTTTAGGAGGCCCCCTAAGCCTCAAGGACTCTACTCGTGTTTAGTCGCTCACACTCGCACAAGGCCGGCACGCGCACAAGGCCGGCACGGTAGCAGCGCTTGGAGGCTGCGTTCTTTGGGCTGTGTCTTTCACCACACTATCCCCTGAAGCCCAAAATTTTCCTTTGCATCTGGACCGCAGGGCAGAGTAGCCAAAGGCCCTTCAGCCGCACCGTAGGACTCTAAACCCTAAAACCCCTAAACCCCAGACTCCGTCTGCGCCTCAAGCTCGTAAAGAAACAACGCGTTGCAAACTGTCATGGGTTCAGCTTAAGAAACACAGAGCCGTTCCTAAGGGGGCTCTTGGAATCATGGAACCCCCCTCCACACAAAGCTTGCATTCTGGCTCATGCGAGTATGACACAGAATCAGTCAAGACTCGAAGTTCATGTCAATTCATGCTCCACGCCTAAACCCTAAACCCTAAACCCTAAACCCTAAACCCTAAACCCTAAACCCTAAACCCTAAACCCTAAACCCTAAACCCTGAACCCTGAACCCTAAACCCTAAACCCTAAACCCTAAACCCTAAACCGTGAAAGTCCGCTGCTTGCTGCCAAATGCACCAAGGCGTCCACAGCAAGCTGCCAGCGCCCTGCCTCGGTTCAACGAGTCCCGAGATCCGGGCAGCCTTGTTGAAACCCAGGATGGCCCTTAAAAACCGCGCAAAAATTTTCCTTTTAGGGGTTTAGGGTTTAGGGCTTAGGGCTGCATATGATCCTCTTCAACCCGACAAGGGGAAAGAGAAAATGTCCCAAGGGCCTACCGAGAAGTCATGGAGCAGCCCCGAAAACACAACTTGGCGGTGAGTACAAGGAGACGCGCGGAGAGAGTCTGAAAGGATCCCGCATCTGCCCCTCCACCCAAAAAGAAGCTCCGCGTGAAACCCCTCTCCGGTAGAAGCCCCCAACACAAACACGAAACACCTGCCTCAGCATCCGACGTCAACCTTTTCGCCTGTCCTCTGTCAGGGCCAAGGCCTGAAGGTCTGTAAACCTGTGGGGACCCTCTCAAGGTCCGCTAAAAGGCCGAGGCAAGCCTCACCGGCCTTTGCAATGGATCTGCAATGAAGGTCGGCTTCCCGGAGCTCCCAAGCTCGAACCACTCTTGGAGGTTCATGGTACTTATTCACCAATTTTTTAACCTGTACTTCTAACCCATCCCTTACTTAAGTGCCCTAAAAGAGCACTAATAGGTACCATGAAGCTCCAAGTTTTCTTTGCAGAAGCACTTGAAAACTTCATGAAATTTGCGGGAGCCCAGGTTTTGTGCCCAGGGTTCCCTCCAGCTGCTCCCCTTCCTCCGTAGCCTCTGGCTCATGCGGAGAAAGGGCTTGGAGCAACTGCTGAAGAATATTGTTCCTGGTCCTAGTAGGGAAGATGTAAGAAAGACATAAGTTACTTAACTTCCTCTCATTCCCTACTAAGAACCAGTAGGGCAGGATTCCTGGCATGAATTGAGCCGAAAATCAGCCATTCCGCAGCCAGCGTGGGCTTCCGAGTGTTGTGTTGCGGCTCGAAGGCTTAGAGTGTAAGAGTTTGGGGATGAAAAAAGCAATAGTGATAGTAATTGTCATCGTAAGCATAATAGTAGTAATCATATAGTAATGAGAACTAGTTCTCATAGCCAACATGACTCAACACAGCTATAAGATTGAAAAAACCACTTTCCTTTAGTTTGGCTGGGCGCTTTTCGCATGCCGAGCTGTTGACACGCTGCTCACAATGACGATGTTGGGCTTGTTTCGCCGTGGCCAGGCCGTGCCTTAACGTTCAAATCATAATCGTTTGGAAGGAAATAGCGGCAATCAAGCGCGGTTCACGAAATTCGAATTGAAACGGCCGTCGTTCTTGGACATCTGGGTTTCCAAAAACGAAACGGTCGTCGTTTTTCGAGTACGTTAGCGGATGCAAATCCTGTTGGATCTCGATGATGCCAGCGTGGACCCCGCACTCCAGACTGGTTTGGATGATCCCTTGTGAATGGCAGAGTGGGTGGGAAGAAATGCCTCCATGGGCAGTCTGGCACAATCTGTGCCATCCGCCACCCATGCAGATGTGGTGCAATCCTTGCATGGATGTGCGGGAGTCGCGCGAGAAACGCGATGTGTGTGTGTTGTTCAATAGAATTTCTAGCAGTGTGTTGCTGTTGGTGTTGCTGCTTGTTGCTACTTTTCGTTGTTCTGTGCATAAACACAGACACGCACGGACACACACACACACACACACACACACACACACACCCCACACACACACACACACACACACACACACACACACACCCCACACACACACACACACACACACACACGCACACACCCCACACACACACACACACACACACACACACACCCCACACACACACCCCACACACACACCCCACACACACACCCCCACACACACACACACACACACACACACACACACCACACACCACACACACCACACACACACACACACACACACACACACACACACACACACACACACACACACACACACACACACACACACACCACACATACACATATACACATATACACATATACATATATACATATATACATATATACATATATACATATATACATATATACATATATACATATATACATATATACATATATACATATATACATATATACATATATATGTATATATGTATATATGTATATATGTATATATGTATACATATATATACATATGCTTATATGTATACACATGCGCACATACACGTACGTGTGAGTGTGCGTGACCATGTACACACATGTGTATCTATACATACAGAAAGAGGTGGGCCAGGTAGGCGGAAGGTTGGTGGCTCGGGGGAACGAGGGGCACTTGCCACAAAAGTGGGGCGATGAGAAAGTTACAAGGCGGAACTTTTCGAGACATTTACATTCATCTCCAAGACCTCAGTAAAATCCCCAAAAGCGAAGTTCAGGAAATCTTAAACCCCGCAAACCCTAAACTCTAAGCCTAGCAAAGCTCAAGCCAAAGCTTTCCTTTGGAGCTACAGTTCCAAGGCCCAAGGCTCTGGTTTCAGGGTACTGCTCTGTCGGAAACCCTCCGTAGAAACAGACGTATATTTCTTTTCATGAACTACATCTAAATCTATGTATATGTAGAAATAGAAATAGAGATAGAAAGAGAAATAGAAGTATAAATAGAAATAGAAATAGCCGAAACGGAAATAGAAAAATATCTATATCATATGTATGTATATGTATACATATATATATATATAATTATTATTTCATTCATTTATACATTTTGTAATTTATTTACATATTGAAATACTGATGTATTTGTTTATAGAATTGTACCGCCGCCCCCTTCACCGACAGCGGCTAAGGGACTTCGAGGTCGTAGGTTGATCTTGCCGTGGAGCACTGGCGTGATGCTCGGAGCAGGCTGTTTGCAGGTCCCAGGGCCCCTCTTACCTCCTCGTGCTGCCATGGAGCTGCAAACAGAGCTGTCTAAGCCTTCAAGGAAGTTAACGGTTCACCAGGTTGGCTAAGGTGCACCCAAACTTGCGGGCAGCACTGCGGGCTGGATAAAACCGCTTGTTGTTGAAAGTCGGGTTCCGAGCCTCAGAAGCGAGTGTAGGTTACAGCGTTAGCTACTCTAGCGTCCTACATCGTCGCATTAGCTATTTGTAACTGCGTCTGCCCGTGCTCCGTTCGAACCCAGGTGAGCTCGACACATGCTACCATGTACGAGTACCATTACACATGTGGCTCTAAATAGCGACTGCCATGAGCTCACCATGGGCAGCGTAGCACAGCGGAACGACGCGCCTCTGTAACACATGAACATTTGATGTAGGACCTGCTACTGTGGGACCTGCCGCGATCACCGCAAAGATAGCCTATTGGCTCTGTACTGGGGGAGGTTTAGGCTAAGTTCGAGCTTGCGCTTCATTTGGTGTCCTGCCAACAGCCGCTTTGTCGAAGAATTATTGCCATTCGCTCGAGAGAGGCGGGAGCGCTACTGCTGAGTGGTGGCACCACAGATCATCTGAAAAAGCACTCGGTAATTTTAACGCCCACCCAAACCAGCAGGCTACACACATCCATGGGCTAGCACATCATGCAGGCGAGCGGGAAATCCCCTAAGACATCATCGAGTCTTATGCGCATGCCCCTTAACAGTGGCCTGCCAATCTCTGCAGTCTAACAAAGAACTTGCACGCGGAAACTAAGCGGCATTCTCATTCCCAACCCCAGGTAAAGCGCCCAATCCCCACCCCTAGATATTGCGTTGACCCTTGCCGTATGCAGTATTCCCCCTGTTGCTTCAGGGCCGATATGCTCCTAAACCCTACGCCCTGAACCCCGTAACGGGAAGAGTCGCGATAACGTTTATTCGAGGAAGTGTTCGTGTATGACTTTGGCAGCGAGGGGGGGGGTGTGGTGGCTTGTAGCAAATGCCAAAAACCCCCCCTGCTTCGCTCAACCCTAAGCCCTAAGCCTTAAGCCCTAAGCCCAAACCGTGATTAAACCCAAAACCCTCCTCCCAGCTTCCCTTACAGTCAGCCTCAGCAGTGGCCCCTCCGTGCCTCGTTTTAAGAGGACTTTTTGGTCACCCGCACTTAACACATGTGAACAGCTCTCAAAAATTGTGGTCCCTTTTTGATAGTGCCCAGTTCAGGTTGGTTTTCGAGCATCTTTCGCGGGCAAGGAAAACCGATGAGTCCTCATTATTCTCGAGCTGAATGAGCATGTCCCTACGGCTTCAGACTCCTTCTGGGCGGCGCCGGTCGTTCAGCTACGAAGAGCTTCGGGGACTTCAAACTTAGCTTTCCTAGGAGGGACTTAAGGAGGGAGGGACTATGTGCGCCCGCGCGCCGCGTTTTCCCCCTCCGAACTGCGAACCCCAAAAACCAGCTGAGAGGGCCAAGCCCTAAACCTAAACCCTCAACCCTAAGCCCCAAACCCTAAACCCTAAATCCTGAACCCTAAACCCTCATCACAAAGGGCAGAGGGAAGCGCGACAGCCTAACCCTAAACCCTAAAGCCCACCATGAGACCATGAGCCACAGGGGAGGTGGGGGAAAGTGCCCTAAACCCCAAACTTGTCAGCTTCTTGTGACACTCATCCCGACCTGGTTCCCAAAGCACGTCTCGACCTCTTCGCAACTGAGGGGCGCCCGCCCAAAAGTTCGAGCCGATGCAAAACTGCGTGGTTCAAGCCGTTCCGGGCTTTTTGGGCGGGCATCTGCGAGCAGCTTTCGCAAAAATAGACTCGCTCTTTCGGCAGCTTGCACTTCATCGCTGATGCTGACGGCTCCTGCAAGGTGGGGCCAGCAACATTTCGCTGTAAACAACCGGCCCGGCGTCGCAGGGCTTAGGCTTTTTGCGGTTTTAGGGTCTATTCTCTTTGGGAGGTATGGCCAGGAGCCGCGACGTAAACTAGGTATCGAACACACATCCGCTGCACAGGGCGCTGCCAACTGCTCCGCGTGGCTATGCTTCGCAAGGAAGGTTCAAGTAGAAAGTTTTTGGGTGCTCCGCAGAAGCCCTATGACAGCTGCAGGACAGGTGCTTGAGCTTCCGCAATGCGGGCGGCTACCCCGCCAGAAAACCGGCCCTATAAGAACACACTTACTTCTGTACTTCCACTAGAGATGTGGTCCTTCACTGGGCTTTCTGGCTTCTGTCCCTACACCAGGCACCTGTCCTTGTTCCAACTGGAACGGATATTTTGGGTAGCTTAGTAGAACCCTAGACCCTAAACTCCAGCTCCTCCAGAAGGTGACGTGCAACTGCGTGCCCAGCAGCGCAACCACCAGGAGAAGAGGGGCGAGCCTCGGCGAACAGCCCGTGCGAGGGTTGATCTGGGCTGGCGGGTTCCCTTTTTTTTTTTTTGGGCGGGGGGGGGGGGTCTTTGGGGTTGTAGGTGTGTTTTGAGGTTTCAGTTGCGGTTTTGGGAGTTTGGGGTCCAGGGCTTTGGGGTTTTGCAGTTTAGGGTATAAGGATGCCAGGGTATCGAGATTTGGCTTGGGGGGGGGGGGTTTATAGGGTTCGAGGCCCATCGCAGCCAGGTGGCCACTGAACCTCGCCACTCGCTGTGAGAACGAGGAGGCCAAAGACCAGCCCTCAGGAGCTGGGAGGGTTAGAGGGGTCTTCTTTTTGAGTGGGTTGGGGGGGGGGGTAGGTTAGGTTTAGGGTTCGGGGCTTGGGGTTTAGGGTTGAGGGGTTTTGTGGTTTTTGGAGGGTTTTTAGGGGGTGGGGATGGGGGCATTTGGGGGTATGTTCGCACGTTTCGAGGCTTAGGATGCTATCGTCTGAGGGATGGAGAGGGGTGCAATCGGTCGAACAGCGCACGTCTCTTTTCACTTCTTCGATTTCTTCGCTGGCTTCGCGGCCGTCTTCTTGGCACCCTTCTTCTTGCTCTTTGCATCCTGCTTCTTCTCCGACGTCTTCCCCTGCTTCTTCAACAACATGTACCGGGCGCACGTCTCCGCGCCACCGCGACGCTTACCGTTGTGAAACTGCTTGCCCAGCGCGATGGCCCGTGTCGCCCAGCTGGGGGTCTTTGGATCCGAAAACATCTTCACCAGGGCGGCATCTTCCTTGGCTGTCCACCCGCCGCGCGTAATGTTCTGGTTGCCATGAGTCATCCATCGGCCCTGGCAGGCCGCGGCGGTGCGGCCGCCGGCGACGGCCTTGGCCACGGTGGCCCAGGCCCTGTCACCGTGCTTCTTGACAGCCGCTGCGAGGCGGGTGTCTTCGGCGCTGCTCCACGATCCACCAGCGGGCATGTTGGGGATTGTTTTCAGGAGGTTGCTGGGCTTTCAGGGTCGGCCCTGGCACTCTTCATGGCCAGTGTGGTAATGAAAATAAAATCCCTGTTTACAGCAGGAAACATGTTGAAACCCGTCTGATGCCGCTTGCTTTCCATTCCTCTCAGGACAACAGCGTACAACCCTTTTGAACCTGGAAATGGCTTTCTGCCAGGATTGAGGCCCGCGCTTCACCATGAGAGAGACCGGCAGGCCCTAAACTCTGAACCCTTTAAAGCCTCATTTGCCTCACCTAAGAAGGCTCAGAACCTGAATCAGCTGCAATTGGGCCCTACATGGTGTCGGCTCTAACCTACTTGGTGCCCTTCGTTCCCAGGCTGGCCCCTGGCCGAAACCCCCTGCAACCGATTCCTAGAAAAAGATCCCGGAGTTTGTGGGTTAAGGGCTTGCGGTTTTGAACAACAGGCCGAGAACCTGCCTAGCCTAGGTTCGATCGGCTGTAAAAAGGCAACCTGCGACTTCACCTTAGGATCTCACCCCCACATGCACCCAGTGAGCCAACCAAAGTCCTTTGGGATCATTTGGCTACCGATGCAGAGTATATGGGCCTCGCAATAGGTGTTGTGTGCTCCTCCTTACAGTCTGGGAGTCTCTGCACCCTCTTGAAGCACATGCAGCTTGGGGAGCCTTCGGAGGCGCGACCCCAATGCCTTCCTGAAATGCTTAGCCAAGCTGCCGCTAGACAGGAAAGCATAGGTGAAGAGAAGAAAAATGCCTGGGACAACAGCCGGGGATTTTTTTGCTGACCCAAAGACTGTCACTGGAGCGGTGTCTGTGTCGGAACCGGAAGAAGGCAGCGTGGAAAAGCGGCAGCCCTAAAACCCAAGCTACAGCTCATAATCGCGGCTTGGGGGGAATCCGCTGGCAGAACCTTGTCTTTGCAAGGCGCACTGCGTGCCCAAGAGCAGGCGAAGGCCTGCAGGGCCATTGCTTCTTTGGTTTAGGGTTTAGGGTTTAGGGTTTAGGGTTTAGGGTTTAGGCTTTAGGCTTTAGGGTTTAGGGTTTAGGGTTTAGGGTTTAGGGTTTAGGGTTTAGGGTTTAGGGTTTAGGGTTTAGGGTTTAGGGTTTAGGGTTTAGGGTTTAGGGTTAAGGGTTAAGGGTTAAGGGTTAAGGGTTTAGGGTTTAGGGTTTAGGGTTCATTGCTTCTTTGGCGTTTTCTTTGGGGGAGGGGTTGGGAGGGGCGGCGGTTCAGGGTTGGGCGCAGCACGACGAGCTTGTCATGGATAGGCTTTCAGGACGAGATGTCCCCAGGTCTGCTAAACCACAGGGCGGCGTCTGCCCTAGCACGGGAAAGCCCTAAAACCTGAGCCGTACTACCCTAAGACCATACCGAGCATGACCTCAAGGAACCCCGCTAGCGCCTGTGCTGCTGGTGATGGAGCAGACAAAGCCCAGGAGGCCGAAAAGGATGGGAGGTACCTTGATTGAGGGGTCTGTCCGAGGCGAAGTCTGGGGTTGGGAGACTAAACCCTAACCGGCGGGAGTGGGGGGCCAGTCTCCCTAAACCCTTTTTTTGCAGCCGGACTGAGGGCGTTGCCGGAATACTGCCTATCCCACTTCGCTCCATCTCATGATATTCACAAGACAGCGCAAGCCAAAAACATGCAAACGAACAACATCAATTTGGTAGTCACAGTTCGCTAAACCCTAAACCCTAAACCCGCCTGCCACCCCACTCTCTTGTCTTTTGGGGTAGGCGGGCGCTGGTCGAGCGCTCAGTGAGACCCTGCGAGGGAGCCCCAGGCGGGCGACCGAGCTGGCCTCCAGGCTGGCTTACCCTCCAGGCAGGCACAGGCCGAGTCAGCAGTTGTCACTGTATTTTTTTCTATTACCCTAAACCCCAGCTGTCCGCGCACCTGGTTGGGTCCTGCATTGGAGGGCCCCCTGGGACGGCCCCTTGAGACCCCTTGGTCCCTCAGCCCCCGTCCGCTGGGCTGAGAGGACCAGGGGCTGTTTTGTTGGGGCAGGCAGGGTGGCCCTGGCCCTGGCCCTGGCCGCCCCTGGCCCTGGCCCTGGCCCTGGCCCTGGCCCTACCCTGTTACCCTGGCCCTTGACTTGGTCTGGCACTGGCCCTGGCCCTGGCCCTGGCCCTGACCCTGGCTGATCCTCCTGACCGCTGGCCTGTTCGAGTCATCTTACCCCCTTGCGCCAAGCCAAGCTGTCCGCGCACCAGTTTGTGTCCTGTTTCGGGGCGCTTCTCCCTCTGGCTCCAGCCCTGCTTCCGTGGCGCTCTGCCCAACCCAAGCTGTTCACTGTGTGTTCTTCCTGGCTGGAGCCCCGTCGCGCCATCGCTGCCTTTCTCTGTTCCTGGCCCATCCCTTAGCCCCTTCGCGCCAGCCCAAGCTGTCTTCACGGACCCTGCCTCGTTTCCGTCTGCTGCAGCTTTGCGCCTGGTCCACGCACCTTGCGCAAATCCCCAGAAAGGGCGTGAGTGCTGACTCATGTGATGCTTTGTAAAAAAAATAAAAGGTCTTAACTCCTTGAGAGTTGTAAGTGGGCGGTCTTGGGGTGGGTAGGTCTGCAGACTACCGCGCGCTCCCAAAGCGCGCTCCCGTCTGGCACGCCCTAAACCCTAAACCCTAAACCCTAAACCCGAAACCCTAAACCCTAAACCCTAAACCCTAAACCCTAAACCCTAAACCCTCCTAAACCCTAAGCCCTAATGGGGGGGAAGGGGAAGGCCGCTTCGCCCTCGGCTTCCCAACAAGGCACGACGGGGAAGATCAGCAAAATGTTCACGAGCCAGAAGGCGCTGAGCCTGGGATTCATTTACTGTTGGTTACTAGGGAATGAGAAATATAAATATATAAATATACAAGTATAATTTGAATAATAAATAAATAAACAGAAATACATAAGTAAATAAATAAATAAATATATATATATAGGGTACCCTATATAATCCCTATATTAGGCCCTATATATACCCTTTAAAGAGATTATACTGGGTACCTCATTCCCTCACTCCCTACTGACCAGTAAGTTTGTGGGCTTTCTTGCACGCCCGCAGAGCTGGACGTACCAGCACGGCTGGGTTCCTTTTTCTGACGCGACAGGCAAAACAAAAGACGGACACTGACCTCTCTCCCACATACCATGCGGGTTTTGGGTTGAGTTTTCGAGGCTGGTTTTTGACGATGACTTGTGGTTCAGGATTTGCTTGTTGAAGCTCCTACCCAGATCTGGCCCTAAACGCCGCCTAAACCTCCATCCAGCAACCCGCAGCACCCCAACTTGCCCCGACATTTGGAGGCTTCCTGGAGTTCCTGCCGGCTGATGTTCCACATGGGTATGCTCCTCTGAATCCCAGTAAGGGTACACAGAAAATAGGGCCTACCCAGGCCCGGCAGGCCCCACCTGTTCTGCAACTTTCAACAAAGCTTCCCTGCCACTAGCGGAGCCATTCCTTCTTAGATGGGCTGTGAGGTAAGGGGCTTCGACTTTCACACGCACGGCTTCTTGATGGCCTTCAGTTGTCTGCTTCTGAGGTGTGACCCTGCCACTTCGGAGGCAAAGATCATCATGCCCCACACCCAAAACCCAAAACCCTAAACCCTAAACCCTAAACCCTAAACCCTAAACCCTCCGGGGTTCCCTGCTGGCTCCCCTGTTGGCAAAAATCACTGAGGCAACCCTGAGCCAAGCCAGCCGTGTGCCCCCAAGACGCGTGAGCGCGAAGTGCAAAAGGCTTCTGGACTTCATGCTCCTCAGCTGGCAGCTCGGAGCCTGTTTTCAAGAGTTTAGGGTTTAGGGTTTAGGGTTTAGGGTTTAGGGTTTAGATTTAGGGCTTAGGGCTTAGGGTTTAGGGTTTAGGGCTAGGGTTCAGGGGACTTCAGGCCGAACCTACTCATCACGGCGCACACCAACCCTAAGACAAGCGGAATAATGGCCTGCTCTCGGTCAGCTGTGCTGCTCTTTTCCGAGCAACTTGCGAAAAACAGGGGTGCCCCCCTTATGTACCCCACAGAACAACAACAACAACCTTATATCATAGCAACCCCCCCCTGCCAGCCAACAGAATGTAAAATAGCAACAAGTAACTAAAATCAGAACAATCATGAAACGTCTACAACAATGAAACATCTTTGTTCTTTGAAACCCTAAACCCTAAACCCTAAACCCTAAACCCTAAACCCTAAACCCTAAACCCTAAACCCTAAACCCTAAACCCTAAACCCTAAACCCTAAACCCTAAACCCCAGATGGTTCGTTCTTCTCGCTTCTTCGCACGACTGCCCAGGCTCTCGGCCGCATCCTGGCAGGACATCCCGCTGCAGCTCAGGAGGTCGACTAGTGCATACCTCGACATCGAAGGCTCTGAGGTTCTTAGCTTTATTTTGAACTTATTTTTTACAATAAAACAAGACTGCAACATAGACTGCATGATATTCTGTAGATTTTTACTGCTATAACATCTGAAGCCGGACAGCATGAGGACCTTGCCAGAGCCTCTTGACTGTGAGACCTCGTGCACGTGCTTGTGCCATGCCCGCGTGCTCAGTCCGTGTGCTGTGTACTGTGAAGACTCTCCGGACCCAGCACAGTGCCCATCCTCCAGCATGTTCCCTTGTCAGCGCCTCGTATGTTGCCTTCTCGCCTCACCCGTTTCTCCCTCGCACCTTCTAGCCCTGACCGGGAATGCGTTTGGAGCTTCTGAGGAAGAGGATTTGAGATTGAAACATCGTGGCACCCCAATCCCCCAACCGGAGATTGGGTGCGTGAGGCGATTCAAAGCCCATCATCAAGCGCACTACTCCCTTCCCCCTAATATTCACCCCCCCCCAATATTAAATACCCCCCCCTCCCCCTTACTATGATATAACTCTCATTATGGGGTGTGTTTCATGTTAGGGGGTAAGGGGGGATTAGCGATCTTGCAGCCATGATGCAGTATCATCGGCAGTGTGGATGCCAGAGCTAGGTGGTAGGGGACATGCCTTTCGCTGCCAACCTTGTCCAGCACAATGTCTCGCAGTGGCCCCCGCACGTAGGCATTGAAGGACCTTCGTGACTTAGTTGTCCAGGAATTAAAGGTTAACCTTTGGGATCATAAGGGGTTTTTACTACATCAAAAAGGTTAAAGGTTACCTACTCTACTACTAGGGTGAATGAGATTCTGCAACGGCATCGGGGGAAGTCATTTCTTTCGCCAAGATGTTCAATGATTCAGTGTCCTTCTGTATGGTGCCGCTACAAAGGATGCTATATCATCCGCCCGTCACCCAACAGGGGATCATTGGCTCGCGTCTGCTGCACTTACGTGGACAATGAAGACAAAAGACTTCCATAGGATGTCGCGGACAAAACTGCTCTCAACCCTCTCTCCAAATCCCTTTCAGGTGGGGCAGGGCACTATGTCTTCTCTTCTTGCAGGGGGGGCAGCATCGGGGCACAGCCGTGAGACACGCGTTAAGAAAGTCGAGTGTGCGAACTGCGTCGTCAAACCCGCGACCCTGTTACCCTAAAGCCTTAAAGCGCAAACGTCCGGAGCGTCCTCATCCAACCTCGAAATCGTGGACACCAAGCGCGCGCTTGGGGCCGTTGAGGCGCTCGAGCGGATCTCGGCCGGCCAGCCGGGACTCCATGTCTTGTAGCCTTGGTAGCACAGTAACAATATTATCATCGGTTTAGGGTTTAGGGTTGAGGGTTTATATTGAAAGGGAACCTTGAACCAAAGAAAGGGAAAAGGGTACCAGAGGGCTACCAAGCAGCAGAGGGGTGCAGTACGGCGACTCCTGCAGGAATCCCTAACCCCTTCCCCCCCAAAAACCGTAAACTCCAAGCCCTACACCCTAAGCCCCAACCCCCCACCCCTCAAATAAAAACAGAGTACCACTTGGGACCAAGGCGCCAAGGGAACCGGAGGCCCACCCCCCTTGGGGGTTAACGCGAACCCAGCCTCGAACCTTGGGGAGTTCTGAAGGGGGGCAACTTAAACTTAGGGTTTGGGGGTTCGGGTTTAGGGTTTAGGGTAGCGCTTGGGGTTTGGGGTTTGGGGTTTGGGGTTTGGGGTTTGAAGGAGACTTTTACAGCGTTTCGAAGTCTTGGGATTAAAGGGTTGAGGGCTCAGGGTTTCGGGTGTTTGGGGCTCGGGCCCTGAAGCTGTTGAGCTTAGACCAGAAAAGCGTTAGCGGCATCCGCCTAAAAATGCAGAAGTCGGGGGTCGGGTTTCCCATCGAGCCAAGTTGTTTAGGGTTTCTTTTTTCGCTCCTGCACAGCTGGGGCGAATCCACAGAGGTCCCTCTGCAAACGCCCGTCCCGTCTACAAATCTCCATACCTTCAACCAAAATCCAAGAGACCCTGGACCCTAAACCCTAAACCCTGGAAACCTAAATCGTACAACTAATCAAGCACCATAAGAGGCATGCGTTACGGAGATCCAGAGTCTGCTCCCCACCCTAAACCCTATAGGGAATATGGGTCCCGAAGGGCCTTCCTAGTCCCAACCCTAAACGCCCGTACGCCCTTGAAAAGGTCAAGGACGTGATTCTTCAAATGGGCTTCACAATCGTTAGCCCTGAACCCGGAGGCGTGGATCTAAGGTTTTAAGGCGCAGGGTTTTGGGTTTAGGATTTCTTAGAGCTTCGATTTAGGGTTTAGGAGGCATGTGGATGTATTGCTTTCGATGGGATTTCCAAGAGAAATGCCCTGCGCCAAGCCTCCCAAAGCCAGCCAGAGACGGGTTTAGGGCTTTGGGGCTCTGCTCTTTTGGCTTTACTTTAGGGTTTACGGTTTGCGGCTTAGGGGTGTAAAGTTTGGGGTTCAGGGTTTGGGGTTAGGGGCTGAGGAACCAGGGGCCTCCTAAGCCCTCAGCCCCCGACCTCTACACTTGGACAACTCAAGAAAGGATTCCATGTTCATTCGCGGCAACACACCACTTGGGGCTAGGAAGTGGCACACAGTAGTCCTCCTCAATCCACTTATTGGGCTTGTAGAGTTTATGGGGTTTGCAGAGTTTATGGAATTCATCGGATTTATAGGGCTCATGACGGTTTAGTGGCTTCATAGAGTTGATAGGTGGTACGGAGTTTCCCGGTTGATGGGGTCTAGGTCTTATAGTATAGAGTTTTAGGGTTTTAGGGTTTTAGGGTTTTAGGGTTTTAGAGTTTTAGGGCTTTAGGGTCTACCCAAAGCAAAGGAAAGGCGAGGGTCAACTCGCCGATCTTCTCCTCGACGATTGTGCGGTCAGCTTCCACCTTGCAGCTGGCCTCCAGTGCATCGCAGGGGCTTGGGGCCCGTTAAAGTCTAGGGGGCCACTGGACCAGAAAGGTACCCTGCTGATGCTCATGATGTCTTCGCCTCGCGCCTCGTCACATCTGCGCAATCACTCGGTCGAAGGGTTTTGCAAACGTCGGGAGCTTAGGGGGCCACTGGACCAGAAAAGTACCCAGCTGATGCTCATGATGTTTTCGCCTCGCGCCTCGTTACATCTGCGCAATCACTCGGTCGAAGGGTTTTGCAAACGTCGGGAGCTTAGGGGGCCACTGGACCAGAAAAGTACCCAGCTGATGCTCATGATGTTTTCGCCTCGCGCCTCGTTACATCTGCGCAATCACTCGGTCGAAGGGTTTTGCAAACGTCGGGAGCTTAGGGGGCCACTGGACCAGAAAAGTACCCAGCTGATGCTCATGATGTTTTCGCCTCCCGCCTCGTCACATCTGCGCAATCACTCGGTGTTTTGCAAACGTCGGGAGCTTAGGGGGGCACTGGACCAGAAAAGTACCCAGCTGATGCTCATGATGCTCGCCTCCCGTCTCGTCACATCTGCGCAATCACTCGGTCGAAGGGTTTTGCAAACGTCGGGAGCTTAGGGGGCCACTGGACCTGAAAAGTACCCAGCTGATGCTCATGATGCTCGCCTCCCGCCTCGTCACATCTGTGCAATCACTCGGTCGAAGGGTTTTGCAAACGTCGGGAGCTTAGGGGCCACTGGACCAGAAAAGTACCCAGCTGATGCTCATGATGCTCGCCTCCCGCCTCGTCACATCTGCGCAATCGCTCGGTCGAAGGGATTTGCAAACGTTGAGAGCTTAGGGGGCTACTGGACCAGAAAAGTACCCAGCTGATGCTCATGATGCTCGCCTCCCGCGTTCACATCTGCGCAATCACTCGGTCGAAGGGTTTTGCAAACATTGAGAGCTTAGGGGGCCACTGGACCAGAAAAGTACCCAGCTGATGCTCATGATGCTCGCCTCCCGCCTCGTCACATCTGCGCAATCACTCGGTCGAAGGGTTTTGCAAACGTCGGGAGCTTCGGGGGCCACTGGACCTGAAAAGTACCCAACTGATGCTCATGATGCTCGCCTCCCGTCTCGTCACATCTGCACAATCACTCGGCCGAAGGGTTTTGCAGATGTCGGGAGCTTAAGGGGGCCACTGGACCAGAAAAGTACCCATGATGCTCGCCTCCCGCCTCGTCACATCTGCGCAATCACTCGGTCGAAGGGTTTCGCAAACGTCGGGGGCTTCGGGGGCCACTGGACCTGAAAAGTACCCAGCTGATGCTCACGATGGTCGCCTCCCGACTCGTCAAATCTGCGCAATCACTCGGTCGAAGGGTTCTGCAAACGTCGGGAGCTTAGGGGGCCACTGGACCAGAAAAGTACCCAGCTGATGCTCATGATGCTCGCCTCCCGCCTCGTCACATCTGCGCAATCACTCGGTCGAAGGGATTTGCAAACGTCGAGAGCTTAGGGGGCCACTGGACCAGAAAAGTACCCGGCTAATGCTCATGATGCTCGCCTCCCGCCTCGTCACATCTGCGCAATCACTCGGTCGAAGGGTTTTGCAAACGTCGGGAGCTATTGGGGCCACTGAGCTGATGCTCATGATGCTCGCCTCCCGCCTCGTCACATCCGCGCAATCACTCGCTTGAAGGGTTTTGCAAACATCGGGAGCTTTGGGGGCCACTGGACCAGAAAAGTACCCAGCTGATGCTCATGATGCTCGCCTCCCGCCTCGTCACATCTGCGCAATCACTTTGTCGGAGGGTTTTGCAAACGTCGGGAGCTTAAGGGGCCCACTGGACCAGAAAAGTACCCAGCTGATGCTCATGATGCTCGCCTCGCGCCTCGTCACATCTGCGCAATCACTCGCTTGAAGGGTTTTGCAAACGTCGGGAGCTTAGGGGGCCCACTGGACCAGAAAAGTACCCGGCTAATGCTCATGATGCTCGCCTCCCGACTCGTCACATCTGCACAATGACTGGGTCGAAGGGTTTTGCAAACGTCGGGAGCTTAGGGGACCACTGGACCTGAAAAGTACCCAGCTGATGCTCATGATGCTCGCCTCCCGCCTCGTCACATTCGCACAATCACTCGGTCGAAGGGTTTTGCAAACGTCGGGAGCTTCGGGGGCCACTGGACCAGAAAAGTACCCAGCTGATGCTCATGATGCTCGCCGCCCGCCTCGTCACATCTGCGCAATCACTCGTTCGAAGGGTTTTGCAAACGTCGGGAGCTTAAGGGGGCCACTGGACCAGAAAAGTACCCAGCTGATGCTCATGATGCTCGCATCCCGCCTCGTCACATCTGCGCAATCACTCGGTCGAAGGGTCTTGCAAACGTCGGGAGCTCAGGGGGGCACTGGACCAGAAAAGTACCCAGCTGATGCTCATGATGCTCGCCTCCCGCCTCGTCACATCTGCGCAATCACTCTGTCGAAGGGTTTTGCAAACGTCGGGAGCTTAAGGGGGCCACTGGACCAGAAAAGTACCCAGCTGATGCTCATGATGCTCGCCTCCCGCCTCGTCACATCTGCGCAATCACTCGGTCGAAGGGTCTTGCAAACGTCGGGAGCTTGGGGGGCCACTGGGCCAGAAAAGTACCCAGCTGATGCTCATGATGCTCGCCTCCCGCTCATCACATCTGCGCAATCACTCGGTCGAAGGGTTTTGCAAACGTCGGGAGCTCAGGGGGGCACTGGACCAGAAAAGTACCCAGCTGATGCTCATGATGCTCGCCTCCCGCCTCGTCACATCTGCGCAATCACTCGGTCGAAGGGTTTTGCAAACGTCGGGAGCTTAGGGGGCCACTGGACCAGAACAGTAACCAGCTGATGCTCATGATCCTCGCCTCCCGCCTCGTCACATCTGCGCAATCACTCGGTCGAAGGGTTTTGAAAACGTCGGGAGCTTACGGGGCCACTAGACCAGAAAAATAACCGGCTAATGCTCATGATGCTCGCCTCCCGACTCGTCACATCTGCACAATGACTGGGTCGAAGGGTTTTGCAAACGTCGGGAGCTTAGGGGACCACTGGACCTGAAAAGTACCCAGCTGATGCTCATGATGCTCGCCTCCCGCCTCGTCACATCTGCGCAAACACTCGGCCGAAGGGTTTTGCAAACGTCGGGAGCTTAGGGGCCACTGGACCAGAAAAGTACCCAGCTGATGCTCATGATGCTCGCCTCCCAGCTGATGCTCATGATGCTCGCCTCCCGCCTCGTCACATCTGCACAATCACTCGGCCGAAGGGTTTTGCAAACGTCGGGAGCTCAGGGGGCCACTGGACCAGAAAAGTACCCAGCTGATGCTCATGATGCTCGCCTCCCGCCTCGTCACATCTGCGCAATCACTCTGTCGAAGGGTTTTGCAAACGTCGGGAGCTTGGGGGACCACTGGACCAGAAAGTTACCCAGCTGATGCTCATGATGCTTGCCCCCCGTAAAATGCCTCTAGACCACAAAAACATGCAGCTGATGCTCATGAGCACAATCACTCGTTCAAAGAGTTTTGCCAACATCTGGAGCCTAGGGGGTCACTGGACCAGAAGTTTACGCAGCTGTTGCTCATGATGCTCGCCTCCCACCCTCCCCCACCGCCCCAAGTTTCAAGAAGTACAACCTTAACTTGTTTTTGTAAGTTCAGGAATGTCCTTAAACTGCATACAATGGGCTCTTATGTTTTGCTGCGCAAGAAAAAGGTCCTGCAGCCCAAGTAAACCTTGGGCCCCTTTGAGGGAATTAGGTGCCTCAAGAATCGCCGCACGGGATTATGTAGGGACCTCCCTAAACCCTAAACCCTAAACCCTAAACCCTAAACCCTAAACCCTAAACCCTGAACCCTAAACCCTGAACCCTAAACCCTGAACCCTAAACCCTAAACCCTACATCCCTAGCAAGCTGAGGGGTTCCGACCTCCCGGATATCGAACTGCGCCATCTGCTCGAGCATGCCACCATGCCTCTGCACCTCTCAGACTCCTTATTCTACGTGGGCCTTCTTTGCTTGGCTGACTCCTGAACACCTCCTAGCAGTTGAGCTTTTCGGCTCCCTATTGTAGTTTCTGAGAAAACCCAAAAGGTTAAAGTCCTACAAGCCAGCCAGAAGAAAGCCAAGTTTTGGACCTCTGAGCCGTCTTCCTGCATAGGATCCTTTAACACCCAGCCAAGAGTCGGCCCTTGAAGGCCTCTGATCAGTATTCCTATATCTGATCCTTTGTAAACACCAATGCGGGAAAGTACTAAAAAACCAAGGAGCTTCTCAGAAGGGCCCTGACATTCTCACTGGCCATAAGCCCTAAACCCCAGCACTAAAGAAGAGCCCTCAATTTTGTGGTAGGGCTCCTATAGTGTCATATTGGCCCATCCTAAAGGTAGAGCCCCCCCCGGTGTAGGGTGTTCTTTGGCACCTGCATAGCGGGACCGGTGTGGGGCTTAGGCTGGGATGTTCCCGCTTATCCTAAACAGTCCTTAATAGGGATAAAGTACCCCCAATTGCAATCCCTATTAAGGACTGTGAGTATAAGGGGGAACATCCCAAAGTTTAGGGGCTCGGGTTTGTTTAGGGCTTAGAGCACGTCAGTCAAGACAGTTGGAGCCCCAACGGCTCCGAACCCTAAGCCCCTCTTGCTCGGCGATGCTCATCGACTCACATCCTGCGAAGGGTTCAGCCTAAACCCTAAACCCTAAACTAAGGGCCTTCATCAGCGTGGAGACCACGGTAGGGAGGGCCGTGACGTAGTAAGACACGCTGCCGACACCTTCCCGGGCGCGCTTTTGGAGCACCAAGAGCAAGAGCCCATGGCTTGAGGGACTGAGGGGGATGATTCACTGGAGTTTGGGGTTTAGGGTTTAGGGGTTTGGGTTTAGGGTTTAGGGTTCTAGGTTTGTTTTGTTTCGGGTTTGGGCTTTGGCTCAAAGACTGCTTCCTGCGCTGTCGTGCTGCGCCCCGAAGGTGGTGGGGATCTCGAGTCGGGTTTGGCTTGCAGTCGGTGTTTTCTGACGCGGGGCTGAGTGCTCGGAAGCCCTTTCGGGGGCCAGAAGCCTACCTGCCAGCCTCTCATGGCTGGTATGGGAGGGTCTACTTGCAAAATGATACTCTTGCCTGCACGCAGCCTTCTAGGATTTGGGCATTTCGACTCTTCCCGTCGCGCCAAGAAATCCTAAAGCATAAGGGCTTCGGTCTTCCGTGGAATTGGCACGCCTACCATCAGCGTCCATGACAGGAGAACGGAAATCTGGCTTGACCTGGGAGAGGGCAGGCAGGGCTGGATATTTTACGGGGGCACGCAAAGCACGAAACCCAGACCAATGGCTAAGGGCCCAGAACCGGAGCTCACATAACTACCAGTAATCTCACTCTCACGCTCACGCTCACGCTCAGGCTCACGCTCAGGCTCACGCTCATGCTCATGCTCACGCTCACGCTCACGCTCACGCTCTCTCTCTCTCTCTCTTTCTCTCTTTTTCTCTTCATTTTCCTATCTCTCTCTCTCTCTCTCTCTCCTTTCTCTCTCTCTCCTTTCTCTCTCTCTCTCTCTCTCTCTCTCTCTCTCTCTCTTTCTCTCTCTTCGGACACCCTTCAAAGTCCAGGCCACGCAAGGCCATGGTTCGACAGCCAGAGGGTGCAGGCCGCCACCACAGTGGCGATAGTTTCCGCGGTCCATGTGTTCCAGACCACGCGGAGCCTTCTATTTAGTGGCTTAAGGGTTTAGGTTTGCCATGTTCCACCTTGTACTAACCGCCCTTAATAGGGATGATAGTAGGGGGTACTATCATCCCTATTCAGGACTTAAAGGAAAAGGGGAACATCCCAAGCTTAGGGGTTTAGGAACCAAAAGCTCCTCGTGCGCAGGTGTCTGTCAGAGTTGTCACTTTTTTACTCAGATGTCACATTCTCGCGCGCAGAAACCATGTCAAAAAACAAAGCAAGTAACGTTGTTGATGAAAAATGTATGACAACCAAATAAAAGTGTGCATATATCTAAGAGAGAGAGAGAGAGAGAGAGAGAGAGAGAGAGAGAGAGCGAGCATATAGAGAATGACAACGACCATTTTGTAAAGCCGGTCATATGGAAAACGATTTGGAACGACAGCTGACTCTACTGCTATCAGGAGGCAGAAGGCGCGAAGGTCCGGGCTTTAGGCCGCTTCAGGGTCGGAGCATTCTTCGGGATCTTACTGCTGATTTTTTTTTGAATCTTGGTTTTGGGATGCGCAATTTTAAGGAAGCCTAGGTGCAGAGACACGCTGATCATGTCCGTGCAGATGGAGGCCAGCAGCCACGGCGCCAGCCATGCGGGAACGAACTGCATCTTCTGCGGCGCGTGCCCGCTGCTGGCGAAAGCAGCCAACTCCAGGTTGCACCAGAGCCTTCTTGTAGTTGGGCGGAGGAACATGCAAAGCAACATGCTTAACGGGCAGGACATATATATATATATAAGCATATATATATATATAAAGATATTATATATATATATAAAGACAGGCAAAAAGGCATGAGTTTCTTGACCGCGGAAGGCCGAGCAACCGACCAAAATACTCCTCGTCCCAAAGAACCAGCATTTGGCTGGACTGCGAGAGGAACACCGGGAAGGATGCAATGGCAATCTCCTTGAGAGATGGCTCCGCCTGGTTCACACATAGCTTGTCCAGCCAAAAGGATGGGGAGCAGCTCCCCCGTGTGATGTTCTGACTGAAGAAGAAGGCCAGGAAGAAGGCACCTAGGCTTCTCTTGAGAACTTGATGCACAAAACATGAACCTTCTGCAGGTTATAAAAACAGAAATTGATACACACACTCATATATGTGCTTTTTCGATTCATGTTTACTTGCTTGTTTATACTGTTGGATAAACAAATATATACTTGTATATACTTATATGTATAAACACACACACACATATGTATATATATATATATTCTGTTTATACATATATATACACATACACATCTATATTGTCCAATGGTTACCCGGACACACATCGGAAGGTGTAGGAGCAGCGGCAGTACGCGAGAATCTCCTGGCAAGTCGGGTTTCTTGCTTCCGGGGTTCGGGTAGCTCGGTGAGGACGCAAACCGTGGCACGCAGGCTGACCACTTCTGAGATAGCACCATTCCCAGGCTACCCTGCTTTTGAACCCAAGCTAAGCTGGGGGCCCAGCCTAGCCCTGAACCCCAAAGTGAGAAAGTCCTCCCAACGCTGTAAGATCGCCAGCGCTCCCCAAGAGGGCCACAGCTGCGCATACGGCAGTTGCGGTGGCAGCCTCTTGCAGACTGAGGCTTGGCATGGGGGTCATCAGAATGGCGAATCATTCTGTTCTTTCAGATTCCTCATCTTCAGCCCAGAATTTTAAAGATCAGCCACCACATACCACTGGTTCAGAGCGGGGTAACTGGCAAAAGGATTCCCACAGTTTGACGGCTCCTAGAAAGAGGATCGTATAATTCATGCATATGGGGGGGGGGGGGGGGGGGGGGGGGGGGGGGCAGGGGGCAGGGGGTTATTAAATAGAGCACACCTACGACTTGCACAAGCTGAGGGCCGCAAAACACAAAGGGCTAACCTTGCAGTTGGTTGGTTGGTTGGTTGGATGGTTGGTTGGCTGGTTGGTTGGTTGGGAACGAAGGAACGCGGGATTCTCACGGTGACTGTTATCAGTGCTGCTAGAACGATTGCGATGAGATGATGGTAAGCATGCTACTCCTAAATCAGGATTCTAGGGTTTGAGGGTGTATTGGGGATACCCCTTTTTGGGTAACACCCACACTGCAGTGGCTCCGGTACCTCTGTGCTCCCTGGCGAACAGTACTTGAAGGTGCCTTCAGCGCCATCCCAAGGTTAAGGTAAAAGCACATGGCCATGAACTTGACCTTGGATTCACCGGGTTTGCAAAGAAACCTGAATTCAGATACCAGAACAAGGACACCACCTGGCTTGATTGCGGTACTTCCATAGCATGGTAAATCAATCTAAGCTTCTTCACAGCAACTCCATTTCCAAGGGTTCGGGATGCGTTTGAAGAGGGTTAGTCACAGCAAACCCGGTTGCACGCGGCCTGGCTGAGCCTAAACCCTGGCCCCAATGCTCGAGGTTCGCAGCCGTGGGTTAAGATGGAATAACAGGTGTCGCCAACCTAGCTGGACTGTGAATTGCTCCGCGCCCAACCCTACACCCTCAACACCCTGAAACGACTTTGCCTCTCCGGGCTGTAGTTTAGGGTTTAGGGTCTGTCTTGTTCGCTGCACTCTCGGCTTGTGCAGGGGCCATGCCCGTCTTCGCCGTGTCGTTCCGTTTTTAAAGGATGATCCCCGAGTGTCCTGGGTTGATGTCAGGGGACGGGGAGTATGGACATCATACACAGCACGGCCTCATGCTTCAAGTGTGGGTTGCAGTATCTCAAATGGTCAAACCCTTGAAACCCTAGACACTTTTTTGGAAACCACCCTAACACCCTGACACCCTAACACCCTTACACCCCAACACCCAAACGCCCTAAACCCCTAAACCGAAACCCTGAAAGCTCTAGACCTGTGGAACCTCGACTCATGGCCCGGTCCAAGTCGCTGCACGACTGGCGCCCCAGTTGTGGCTGATAAATACGTCCACATGGACAACTTCCGCCTTGCTTTGCTTTGGGGTTTAGGGTTTAGGGTTTAGGGTTTAGGGTTCAGGGTTCAGGGTTCAGGGTTCAGGGTTCAGGGTTCAGGGTTCAGGGTTCAGGGTTCAGGGTTCAGGGTTCAGGGTTCAGGGTTCAGGGCAGAAGAATTCGGGATACTTCGGTACCTTTGAGAATCCCTTAGAAAGAGTGTAAGGGGATACCGAAGAATCTAGGATCGGCTTCTTCTCCTATGCTCCCCGGATCAAAAAGGCGAACCGGGTGTAATACCGAACCTGACCCCTAAACAAAGGACCACAGGTACTGCTGGTCATCCCAGTCTCTTGTTTGAAGTTTGGGGTTTCGGGTAGTCTTGGAGCTTGCCGCTCTGAAAGACACGTCGCGGTGCGCGTGGCGCAGAGACTTAAGCCCAAAGCCTAGAATCAGACAGGCACCTCACGGCCTGTCGAGCCTACAAGCTAAACCCTAAACCCTAAACCCTAATCCCTAAACCCTAAACCCTAAACCCTGAACCCTGAACCCTGAACCCTGAACCCTAAACCCTAAACCCTAAACCCTAAACCCTCAACCCTAAACCCTGAACCCTGAACCCTAAACCCTAAACTTAATTCTTAAGCCCGCAGCTTCCTTGCGAGGTGCCGTGCTCAAGTAGACCTGCCAGGCCTTCGCCCGGGCTTCCTGGAGCTCTGCCTGAAGGTTCGAGAGTCGCGGGTTTAGGGTTTAGGGTTCAGGGTTCAGGGTTTAGGAGTCAAGGTCTGCAATTGAAATCGCCTGAAAAATGCATTTTGTTCTAGTGGTCCTCTGCAACCTCAAGGAAAAGCAACGTATGGGGAAGGGAAATTCGTTCAACACAGGGATGCCCATTCTGGGCTTTCCTACCTCCTCATTTCGGAACTACCCGTTCCCCAAGGGCCCAGCAAGGTTCTTGGGGTTGTTTCGGCTCGGTAGTCGCCACGGGGACTTCGGCCCTACAAAGCCGTGTATGGTTTCCATAGGTATACGTCTACGAAAATCCTGAGGCAGTACACCGCTACAGCATGCGCTCCGACTTCTGAGGCTTCTCACGGTGTCGGGATTCGAAACGGAGTCCGGGCTCCAGTTTGGAGAATCATAGCACCAACCACTGGTGCGTTTTGTCATAGTCATATGGTGTGCGCAGGAGGAGCAAGGATAACCGTACAGGAGACATGCTCGAAACGAGCACATTCCTTGAGAACAGCAGCAACATCCATGCCCAACGCGTTCGACGAAAAAGCTACGGCTACATTCTGAAACTCCGGATTTGACGATGAGCACCCTGCAATTCATATTGGGGGATGGGGGCGAGTTCGGACTCGAAGTTCCGCGAGAGTCTTCGTGGCTCAGGCTTCTAGACCCAGGAGTAGCCCAAGAACAAAAAGGGTACCCTTCTTGGTTTGAAGGTGATTGTAAGGAAACCTAACCACACCCCCCCCACCCAAAAAAAAAGAAGGCCTAGTCTGGGTCCTGGACTTTTAAACATCCGCTCAGAATCCTACCAATGGCAGCAGGCCTCGGAATGGATGTCGTCCCAATCTGCAAAGCCGATGATGCCCTGCACGTGCATACGCATCTGGCGCCAACATCCCCCAAGCCTGTTTGCCCTAACCCTAACCCTTACCCTAACCCTCACACCCTCACCCTCACCCCAACCCCAACCCCAACCCTTACCCCAACACTTTTTGCATCCGGGCATGAGTAGCCCTAACCCTAAACCCAGCTGGTTCGGTAGGATCGCCGGCGGAAGCCTCAACTTTTTTGGAGCAGCGACCACTAAGTTGGGTGGTCTGAAGGGCGAAGCACGGAGGGGCAAACCCGGACCCGGATCTTCAGGTGCGTATGCATGTCAGGGTGTATGTGCACATCGTTCAACTCGAACATGCAGATCGCATGATCCATACAACTCCGGCCGTCAGTCCCTCTGCAAAGATCGCTCCACCATCTCGGAGGACCTGAGCCCGTACAAACTGCGACGTGTGCACATCACGGGCACTCTTCCCTGATGCTTTCCTAGTGAGCAGGGGACCTAACAAACTGCGACATCTCTGCATGCGAACAGCTGCCGCTGAAGCTGTAGGTAGAGATGCTGCACTCCGCTGGGAGAATGCATTTTGGGGCATTTGTGTCTTACACAAGTCTTCAGGCAGTGAGTTTGCTCAGGGTTTAAGGTTCGAAGCTGCTGCCAAAAACTGCAGCAAACCCCACACCCAGAAGCTAAGACCCGTGCCTGCAGGGCAGTGGCAGCTCGGAACAGCCCACGTTGGCAGACGTGGTTGATGTGCGCGGGCGCCACCCGCATGGCCCTCCCTGACCCTGCGCCTAGTAAGCCCAGCAAGCCCCAAAAACCCTTTCGGCCCTAAGCCCCCTAGGCTTTGAGAAGACAAATGCCAGGGGAACCCTCAGACCCAAGAAGTAAACCCTGAGAGGAGGAGAGGGATGAGCCTCTGAGGAATTTCAGTCCTGGTGCTTGCATAGTTGGCCAGTCATGCCCTCTCATACTATTGAAGGGGTCATCAAGGGTCGTCAGAACAGTCAAGGCTATATGCGCTGACGTGAGAATTAGAGGGTCGTGGGAGCTAGTGAACACCGCAGCGAGGGGCTCAATCCAGCGCCCAGGCTGCAGAGTTCTCAGCCAATGGCTTCAGAAGCAGCGTGTCGTGCATGCAGCATAGCGCTTGCCATGTGTTGCATCTTATACACATGGAAGGGCAGTTGGGCTCCCCATGGAATTCCTTTGAAGCACATCTGCCATAGGCGGGAGACCCACGGAAAGAGCACCACAATGCTGCAAGGGGTTGTCTGTGATCCTAAGCCGAAAAAAGGGAAGAAAGGCACTTCTGGGCATCCTAGTTGACCACCCTCCTAACTCTCACAACTCTCATGCGTAGGCCACCCCCTAAACCCTAAACCCAAAGCCTTAGATGCAGGCTGCGAGGCACGGCCCAAGCGCTGCAGATAGGCCGTGGCTGCCTTTGGGCCCCTGCACTCTGGGATGTTTCGGGCTTCCAGTTTCCGGAGGAAAATGCACTAAGCCAGGCCCTAATACCCAAGTGTCTCAGGTTAGCCGGAGGAGAGAGGGAGAGGAAGAGAGAGAGAAACAGAGAGAGAGGGAGAGAGAACAAAAAGATAGAGAGAGAGAGAGAGGGAGGGAGGGAGGGAGAGGGAGAGAGAGCAAGGCGAACTACGTACTTCTACTGGGAGGATCTTGGGACAAGTTGCTCCAGGCCCCAGTACCTGAGAGGAAATTTCGGCTCCACAAGAAACCTACTGCGGGGGCCTCTTGGGCTCGGGGAGGATTCAATTCAAGTCCAAGGCTCCGCAGCCATTCTCGAGACTGGCCGGTCTCCTGTGGATCTTTTTTTTGCAAGAAGGGGTTGGACTACTTGGAGGTTCATGGTACTTAGTAACCCAATAAACACTGTACTTATAACCCACTTCTAGACATATTCGGGCACTTAAGAGGGCTTTTAGTGGGAGATAAGTACAGTTATACTTGGTCTTGGTTATATAATACGTACCGTGAACCTCCTAATAGGGCTTCGGCTCCAAATCTCTGACTAAGTTACTTTCGGCGCACGGGTATGACCCTCTGCAAAAACAGGACATGACCAAGATGCTGGGGTTTCGGCTCTCAGTCTGGCAGAGTCCTAAGG